GTGATCATCCAGGTGAGGATAGTTCTGAAAAGAACTGTTGTTGGTGACTGACCTGTCGACAACCTGAGTGGAAGTCATCTTCAAAGTCAAGTGAATAGTATTCGTCAGTCGATGGTGTTATAAGTCTGGGCTGTTGAAAGTGATTGAACCAGTTTAACCATGATGGCATTGGCTGTAAGACTTGTGTAAAGTTTGTTAGCAGTCATTGGTCAAATTAAGTCGGTCTGTTTGAGGTCCATCTATCCCTCTGTAACTACACTTACTTCAGTTTCTGAATCACTGGGAGGACTGGATTCCAGCTTAGCTGGTGATTCACTCTGTATTTCCACCTCTTCTTTAACCTCCTCCTTCTCTGTTACCTCAGTCTCTGTTTCTAGTTCAGACTCAGGTTCAGACTCAGATTCAACTTGAGACTCCTGTTCAACAGTAGGCTCAATTATTGTAGGGACCGCTACTTCCTCCTGTACAGCCGGTGCCTCGCTCTCTGTTTCTTCATCCTCGTCGTCATCATTCTCCTGGTCCTGAGCACGTTCTTCATCATCAGCTGCATCTGACTCATCATCTGCATCAGTTTCTTTTGTTGTGTCCTCCTCCTCTGCCTTAAAGTCCCCTTCAGTCTGCTTTTCTTCCTTTACAGGTTCCTCTTCCTTAGGAGAACTGTTTACTCTCATATTGGGTAATTCAGTTAGGTCACCCACATCCATGGCTGAGCGAGGGCCACCTACTGATACCGCAAAACGACGGCCTCGTTCTGTTGAAACAATCAAATTGTGCATATAATTAGCAAACCTGATACTGTTACAAATGTGTTTCTTTAGAGCACGTCTAGTATGATCTGAAAGCTTGCCTTAGCTGCAGTATTCCATTAACCTGATAAACTATATCAGGTGAAAGTCACCGATACCACCAATAACAAAGCTGGAGCTGGTTCGTTAGTTTGTCAATATTATTTCACACCATGTTAATCTCATGCATAACAATGTGAGGCAATGTTAGCCCATACTGCAGCTCTTAGCCCTTCACATCTTATTTTCTGAGGTTTGGAAACTATTGAATGAATGAATGAAAGACTTTATTAATGTGTCAATAGTATTTAGCTTAAAAAAACTAATTGTAGACACTATTTACACAATAAAATATACCTCAGCTACATAAAGTTAAAACCATTAACAATTTAATGAATATTGTATAAAATAAATAAACAAATGGGATCGATGCCAAGAAAATTCTGGTTATGTCTATTTATAAGTTTTACACGTAGACTCAGAATGATTGACAATTAACCCTAATGAATGGTCTTTAAGGTTACTTCCCACCTCCCAGAGTGAAAAAAATCATTTTTTCTTTTATTTGCCTAAATGGAAGTTTATCATTTTATCTAACATTTACAGGAAAAAAAACTTAAAAATCTCAAAAATCGCCGACGTTATTTAACAAAATTTGTTTTCCAATAAAAGTTAA